CCTTCCGCAAAGCGACCAAGACCTGGCTGTTCCGGCAGGCCTGGGGCTGTTGATTTTTCCAGCCCCATCCTATGCTATGAATGTTGTGGAATTTTAATGTTTTTTTTAGTTTTTGTATGTTCTCCCCTTCCTTTTTATCTGTAAGCCGCCCTGAGTCTTTCGAGAGTGGGCGGCATACAAACCCAATAAATAAATAAATAAATAAATAAATAAATAAATAAATAAATAAATAAATAGGTTGACTTCTATTAGATTAATAAAAACTACCCAATTCAAGGTACTAGAAACATCTGAAAATGTATATGTATTTTCTGTAGTGCATAAACAGTAACTTTAAATTGCAATCACGAGGTTGCATATACCACTGAACAGATATGATCTTCACATACAATCAGCCCTTTGAGTAGTCCAGACCAAGACACCAAAGTTATGAATACTATTACTTTTATTATAAAGTAACAGAATTTTGCAAGTCTGAATGTGCCTCTCTCTTCCCTGCCTTTTATGTCTATAGAGTCTCAGTCATCTACTTCATGGTTGTCCCAAAGGTGCTTTTTTAAGAGGCAACTGGACTTTCTTGTTTTTCTTAGAAGACGTTTCGCTGCTCATCCAAGAAGCTGCTTCAGCTGTGACTGATGGTGGGGAATGGAAGGATTTATAGATGACCATCTGTTTGCAAGGAATATACAACCTTCCATTTCCCATCCAGTTGTCAGCTCTGGCAAGCCCACAGGCCCGGAGCTGCCATTGGGGGTGGGGGATGTGGGAGCTGCCAGGAATTGTGCTTACCAGCTGGGGATCTCTCTCCTTCACATACATAGAGGAATATGTGAGGAGTTGTGTTGTTTGCACTACCATGAAGGCCCGGACTGGCTGGCCTCCTGGTCTTTTACAGCGGGTGGCAGATCCTATTCGTCCATGGAACAGATAGCCATGGACTTCAGCGTGGATTTACTGGACAGTCAAGGGAACAAGGTCATTTGGATGATAATAGACCTGTTCTTCAAACAGGCTCATTTTGTAGAATGTACCAGCCTTCCATCTGCTAGAAAGCTGGCCAAAATGTTTAATTGTCCATGTCTATAGACTCTATGGCATCCCCAAAAGGAGAATTTCTGACAGGGGAGTGGAATTCACTGCCCGGTTCTGGTGCAGATTTGTGGCGATGATGGGGTCTTCACAGGGAATTAGTACAGCCTTCCACCCTGCAACCAATGGTGCTGCGGAGACAGCAAACGCGATGGTGGAGCGCTACTTAAGGAAAGCTACTTAAGGTGTTACGTTCAGTACCAACAGACGAATTGGGCTGAACTCCTCCCCTTTGCTGAAGTTGTATATAACAATGCAGTGCACAAAAGTATGGGGTTTACCCCATTCCACAAGGCTACAGGGGAGGACTTCCTCCCAATTCCGGAGTGTCCCCAAGTGCGCCCAGATGACATGACCTCGCAAGAGTGGATAGTCTGGATGCAAAAGGTTTGGAAAGTGGTGAGAAACGTGTTACGTCACTCTTTTGCCACATATAAAAAGAACACTGATAAAAGGCAGAAGGCGCAAGGACCTTTCCACGTGGCCCAGAGGGTATACCTCTCCAGTAAATATCTCAGGCTGCCTTTGCCATGTAAGAAACTCAGCCTCAAATTCATTGAGCCTTTCCCCATTGTGTGGGTTGTTAACCCCATCGCAGTGCAGCTAAGGCTTCCCCCCCATTGGGGAAAACACATCCAGTCTTCCACTGCAGCCTGATCCAATCAGTTCAGGCATCTGATATCAGAGGAGACCCGTTACAGCCACCAGCCCCAGTCACTGTAGATGGGGAACAGCACTATGAAGCGCAAGATATATGAGATACCAGGTGGCACAGAGGGCGGTTACAATACCTTGTTCTATGGAAAGGTTATCCCCTGTTGGAGGCATCATGGGTTCATAGTAAGGACTGTAGGGTCTGGTAGCGAGATTCCACCGCAGTCATCCCGCAAAACCCAGGTGTGTGTGTCTTTCGGCTCCTGACTGACTGTAATTTTTATCTCCCCAGGTGCTGTCTCCGTGGTAGAGCGGCCACATGTCAGCTCCAGCGAGCCCACAGGCCCGGAACTGCCATTTGGGGTGGGGAGTGGGGGAGCTCCCAGGAATCGTGCTTACCAGCTGGGGAACTCCCTCCTCCACATGCAATCCAGCTGACAAGTCTCCATAACTGAAAATTGACTGAAAACAAGCCATGATGATTGCCGGGTGGTTTTCACTCTGGGTCACGAGGTGATGTGTGCGTGCCCGTGTGAGGGTGGGGTTTAGCCTAAATACCAAATAAAGTATAAAAGCACCGGATGTCAGCTCTGACAATTTATTCATTGTCTTAGTGCTTTGTTGGTCAGTTTGTGCTAGAGGAAGATAAACTGCATTTTCAAACTGTCTCTGTGTTTGGCTGTTTTCCTTAACCCTTCAGAACCTGACACCAGCCAGAGCTGAAGATGCTTCTTGGATGAGAAGCGAAACATCTTCAAAGAAAAACTAAGTCCAGTTGCCTCTTAAAAAAGCACTTTTGGGGCATCCCTGCCTTTTACATTCCAGAGAACTAGGGAGGGTCAACTCTTGAGATGCTTGTTCAAATTACATTCCTGTTTGGAGTCAGATTTCGCTTATCTGAACATTGTCTAGGTTGCATCTGTTCCTCTTGTCTCAAGGTTGCTCGTACAGCCCATTACACATACGAGAAAACCTTGATTTGAATGTTAAGTGGATTTCTAATGATAGCCAATAATACACTTATTGTGCAGACCCTAGACATGAGATCCACATCTTCACGAGTAGGTGTGCCTGTTGGAGACACAGACATTACCCAACCTGTCCCTGTTA